CACTGGAGACCCTGGGCCTGCCCCTTCCAGTGGGGGGGGGGCTACTAATTGGGGATGCAAAGTTCTCCCCATCACTGACTCCTGTCCCTCCCCCGCTTGCTGCCTCTATGGGAGGGGAAAGTGACTAGTCAAGTAGTGACTTGACTGCCTGATAAACATGCTTATCAACTAGTCGATTAGTCACATCCCTAGTGTCAGTGCCCTGCGAGGGGGGGCTGGGAGGCCTGGATGGCTCCTCCCCAGCCAGATGGGACCATTGACTGCTCCTTCTGTGAGTGGAGGGATGAGCCTGGTTTCACACACACCCCACACACAACTCCACACACACATTTTCCATGTCCCTGCCCATTTAGATCCTCTGCTCCATGCATCCTGTGTAGCATGGAGGCAGCCCCAAAGCCTCTCCCCAGACTCCGTATTCAGGGGTCTGTACTGCCAGTACCTACTGCTGGCGATGGGCCTAATCTGGTAGCAAGCACAATGCTCAGCTCTGCTGACATTGCACATTTGTATTACTGGCCATTCCTCTTAAAGCCCCAGAGTCAAGTGGTCATGAGAATCTCCGCTTTCAGCAGAAAACAAATTTGCCAGCCTTCCTGGTTGCAGAGTAAAGCTTGAAAGTGGGGCACTCAAAAGAGCTGCAAACACCAGAAGGCAAATAGAATCCCAAACATGTTTGCCTTAAAAACTGCAAGATTTTCAGTCATGCTTACAGTGCTGATTCATGGTTCTTGATTGCTTAGGGTCACTTGTAATACTCTACAGGATCATGCACGGACTTTCCTATAGTTTCCCATACACACAACTTCTCCTGTCTCTTATTGCTAGAACATCACTCAACCTTTTTTATTGTTTTAAAATTTGTTTTTTGTTCTAGGTGAATGTAAAGGATTTAAAGAGAAATTCATGAAGTGTCTGAGAGAGAATAGCTTTGAGAATGCTTTGTGCAGACAGGAATCAAAGGAATATTTAGAATGCAGAATGGAGAGGCAAGTAAATCTCGTACGAGCATTTAAGCAGATTAGTTTTCATTGCAGACTCACATGTGTGTATCATTGCCAGAGAATGTTCTTTGAGTGTGTGACTGCATTTGCCTGTGAGATTGCAAATGTCTGATTTTCTTGGGTTTTTTTTCTTGCTATTTCCACAAGAAACCAAGCTGACCTTTCAATGCTAGTTTAGTGACCACACTCACTTTGGCCATCAATAGGCATCAGATGTGAATTCACGCAGGCATTCGCCTGGAACCTTTCTTGATTTATGGAAGTATGAAAAGCACATATCCCCTTTAAAAACGGACACCCTTTTCCACTTGAAGAATTCTTAACAGTTTTAGCTCAAATTTTAGTCATGGACTCAGACCACACCCACTGCTGGTGTCACTGCAATGTATAGCCAGTTCAGATGCACGTAACTTGTTCTTTTTTAATTGTAAATCAATTTCCTCTGACACCTCAGCAGCACTTGTCCTCCTTGTGGACCACATTCAGAACATACTTAAAGTGAAAAAGTTAACCTGTTCCTGAGTTATTAAACAGGGCAGGTAGGGAAGATATTGAAATTCTTTTTGAAGGGGCATATGCTGGTTTTCACATCCATTGTAGTAAAATGTCCCTATTTTTCATAGACATGCAGCATTTCACACTCAGCAGTTTCTACAGCTATTTTGGAAAATCAGCTCTAACTCTTATTGTACTTATCCAAGACTCAGCTCAGTTCCTAAATAGCCTACTGTCTTGCAGTATGGGATATTTTACACATTTAACTAGAAATCTTTGGCCAGACAATAGAGTATTGACTGGACATTGCTGTTCCTGCGTCGATACCTTGTGGTATTTTGGTAGTTTGAAGGAGATGGATGGAGTATGTGGTTAATGCTCTCTCAGCAGCACTGTCAGACCTTTTAAGAGTAAATATTATTTTAAGTGACATTATTGCTGCTGAATTAGATATTCATATTGCTAAGTTTATTATGAAGCTTGTTTTTCAGTTTATGCTTTTTTATTTAGGCAACTTATGGCTAAAGAACCATTGGAAAAATTGGGATTCAAAGACCTAATAGATGAGAAATCAGAAGCAGAGCATAATAAATTATAATGAAGAAAAGACAACTCTACCCATATGTGCAAATTGTGACACTATTGTAGTACATATTGTACAATCTGTTTTATATTTTAATATATTCCTTAAAGGGTTGGGGAAGGTGAAAGCTCTTTATTCTGAAGTTAGATCTCTGAAAGAATAAAAATGTTTTCTTTAGAAAATACCATTACGTTAACTATTTCACAAGAAAAACAGTATTTAGTTAATTCTTCAGCATGGGCTTGCAAAGCATTAAGAAAAAGTTGCATCAGAGAACACAAATGCTATTTATCGAAGTGTGCTTATTCTGTTAGATATATAACTCTTTGAAATAACAAAGATCCTCCACTTGAAATGGCTCTAGAAGGTAGAGGTTCTTGAATGGGCAAATTGTATTTGAAAAAGTTGTTTTACTAATTGGAGACTCAGGCCTGCTTTCTCTTCTCTGATAATTACAAAATGTAAGACAAGTGTTATTTTCGTCTGTATTTGTGCAATTGGATATCAAAACATTGTAATAAACTTTATTGTTGAAATTGCAAAATGTAGACTTTTTTTAAAAGGTGAACATGTTGTAGGTTTTAATAACTTGCTGCACAAATCACCTGGAAATGAGACACTTATATAACAGGTGATGTGCATGTGATTTAAAGCCCCCCCCCACATATTTGTATTGAATTTAACTTGGCATTTCTCTTCTCTACTCCTGGTTAGGGATGTGAACGATTAGTCAACTATCTGATCAGCAAATGCTATCGGATAATCAACAGGCTAGTTGACTAGTCGCTCCCCCCACTTGCTGCCTCTAAGAGGCAGCGGGGGGAGGGGAAAAGAGGGGGTGCTTCAAAGCGGTAGCGCCGTGTGGAACCCGGGGCCAGACCCCAGGCTCCATGTGGTTCTGCTGCTTTGAAATGCCACATGCAGCCCAGGGCCAGCTGGGAGTCCCCAGCTGACCTGGGCTGCATGCGGCGTTGTCAAAGCGGTAGAGCTGCATGGAGCCCTGGGTCAGCAGCTCCACATGGCGCTGCCACTTTGAAATGCCATGGGGAGTCTGACCCCAGGCTCCCCGCAGCATTTCAAAGTGGCAGCACCTCTTGGAGCCTGGGATCAGCTGGGGACTCCCCCACTGACTCTGGGCTCAATGCAGCACTTCCGCTTTGAAACGCTGCATGGAGCCTGAAGCAGTGCTGTGTGGAGCCAGGGTCAGCGGGGGACTCCCTGCTGACTCCAGACTCCATGCAGCGCTGCCACTTTGAAACGCCATAGGGAGCACAGGGCCAGCAGAGGACTGCTTGAGTCTCCCACTGGCCCCGTGCTTCCTGCAGCACTTTCACCTTTGAGGTGTAGCAACATAGTCCATGTCTACACACAAACAGTTATTTTGACTTAATGTTGAAATAATGTCCAGCCGAAGGACTTCTTACTCCGACTCCTGTAACCCTCATTTTACAAGGATTAAGGGAAGTCGGAGGAAGAGTGCTCATTCTCAGACTTCCTGCTGTGTAGACAGCACCAAAAGCCAAAATAAGCTATTTCAATTTAAGCTACCCAATTGATGTAGCTCAAGTTGCAAGCTTATTTTGGATTTAGCCCTGCTATATAGACTTGTCCTACGGGATTAGGCTGTCATGGTGATGGGCATTATTACAAAACAATAAAGGCAGGTCTACACTACTGCATAAATTAATCTAATATACATTGCTCAGGGTTTTGAAAAGGATGCCTCCTTGAAAGGTGATCTAAGCACTGTCCAAACAGCGCTATGTCTGCAGGAGACACTTTCTAGTGGAAGTGACGTAATTATGCCAAATGGAGAATGCTCTCCTGCACAGAACATCTTCACCAGGCACAACTGCAATGCTTCTGCAGTACCACTTCTAGTGGAGACCTGCCATTAAGATGGATTTGCTATGAAATCTCTATTGGATCCTAGGCCTGGTTTACACTTAGGTCAACACCTCTGGTGCTCAGGACCATGAATAATCTATACGCTGGAGTGCAGCTAATTTGACAGAAGAATGTGACTGTCAATCTTGTTACTGTAGTTCAGGGAGGTGGAGTTCCTACAGTGACGGAAACGCCCCTTCTGTCTCTAGTCTGTGTGTGTGTATGCCACAGGATTACGGCAGCATAGCTCTGTTACTATAGCTATTATAGTGTGGCTATGGCCTCTGAGCTCTGAGAACTTTGTTGCTTGATGAATTTTCAGAGACAGAGCCATTTCTTATACTTGAAGGAAAATGAGTCTTAGTTGATGCTGATATTCCAAAAGTTTGCACTAATTACATTTGGCCAGTCAGATGGTCATCTGGAAATGGGTTTAACATTCAAAAATAAAAAAATCAACCACTAAATCCTCTGTGCATTTGTTTTTTCAGGGGCATCTTTATTTGAAAACAGACTTGCCCCAATATTTTTATACCATTCTCTTTTGCTGTTTACATTCTATCCTTTATTGAGATTAATACATTTACAGAAAAGCAGAGATTTTTATTGCTGAAACATATTAAAGGATTTTATATTAAACTACTGAGTGGGAGATTTTTCAGAGTAAGAATACGAGAGAAAATTGTTAAAATAATCTCCACTATCTTGAGAATAAAGAAATCAAATTTCATGCCTCTGTGCTCCCCGGATATTATAAGGGGATGAGAATCCCCTGTGGTAATAAAGGAGTCTACTGGTGGTAGTGGACTAAACCAGATCTTTTGCAATGATACAGCTGGTTTTTGTCTCTAGATCTTATTGTGAAAAGACAGTTACTCCATAGCTTAACTGTATTAGGAAAAACATGCTTCAGATGCTGCAGAATTCTGTAACCATGTGAGCAAAAGAAATAAAACAGTAAAGCCCTGGATAATTGAATTGCATCTGATGAACTGGAATGCTAAAAGGTGCTTTATTTTAAACAACTCAGGTTATTTGTGGTGGGGCATTTCTCAGATTTGCAATCCCAAAAACTCAAAATTCTGATCTAGCTTCAACTGGTGTGATAGACTGACAGATCCAGAAAACAGATTAAACTGCTATGAAGGAAGACCCAACAAGTCAGTCTTCTGGATGCCTGCAAGTCAGTCTGCAGTGGATGTCTTTGACTGTTAAAAGGGCTGTTCCTGTGGTCAGAAGGATCCCGCCCAGCACTGATTTTCTGGACCTCAAAATCAGGGATCATAGAACCATAGAGCTGGAAGAGACCTCAGGAGGTCATCGAGTCCAGCCCCCTGGCCAAGGCAGGACCAACCCCAACTGGCACAGCATGTTGCATTCTTCAGTGGAGATTGAACTCACAACAGCTACTCCACAGGACAGAAATGGGTTAAAAAAATTTGAGCTGCACCATTGGAACCAATTTTCATTCCATCAAATCACAAATGCATCTTTCCCTGCCTGTGTGGAAAGTTCAGTCAGCTCCAGAGCACTGTCTCTCTTGTGCCCAAACCTCTGCAAGGGAGTTCTCAGTGTCTGGGGCAATGTGGAAAGTGAGTGTCTGGGTAGGGTGAAGTCACACATCCTCTGGCTCTGTGGAGATTTCTTGGAAAAGGCAACACATTCTGGGGTGAAGTTCAGGCAGGTGGTAATATGGGACCCAAGTCAGCCATGATGTGAGAAAGGTCTGAGATGTTCCAGTGCAACTAAGGGGTGGTGGGAGGGGCTGGGCATTCTAAATCCTTTCCCTTCCTTATCATTATGGAACAACCTTGGAGCAATCCTACAAGTGGAACTTCCCAGAATTACCTTTTCCCCCTATTCCCACAGGTCCTGCAGGAAGATGGAGTGATTTGGGCCATATTTTGCCAGACAAGTTCCCTTTTAAACTTTTCTGCGTATAGGATCAGGGTTTGTGCCTGTAGGTATGCTTTAAAATGACTCCTGTGTTTAAACCAAAGTAAACTAATGGACTATTGGGTTTATCTTCCTGCTCCTCAATCCAGCAGGTCAGATGTATTCTGGAAGGACTGGGGGTAAGAGCAGAATGTTTTGCTGTGTCTTAGGGTGTTTGATCTCCGGTAGTAACTCACCATTCTGCTCATAGCTCCCAGGGGTGCTTGGACAATTTGTATAGTGTGGGGGGAGGGTGCTGCTGAGCACCTCTGAACCACTCTGGATATGATGGAAACCACTTCAAGCCAGGGGGTACCGCTGCACCCCTGGCACACCTAAATCCCCAGCACCTATGCACGGCATGAGAAGCAAGATCGATTCTGTGTCTAGACATTGCTTTCTCCAGTCAGCCTGCATCTTAAGTGGGGTTGTGCCTCTGTAACCTTCCACCTCCTTCAATCACCCACAAAAGCTGTAGTGAAGCACCACCTAGTGGAAGGCCGGGGCAACTGTGAAGATTCAAATAGTGCTGAATAGGGATCAGCTGAATACTTCCATGTTCACACTGCTTAGCTAAACGTAGTTACAGCTGGTGTGGAAAAACATAGCTTACTCCTATACACTCAACACTGACTCCTGCCCTGGCTATCTGCTGCAACAGTGGAAATTCATCTAAAAGACCATAATCTATTAATGCCTATTGCTTTCCTTTACTGGGGTAACTCCAGGCTTTCTACTAGGCTGTGTCTAGACTGGCCAGTTTTTCTGGAAAATCATCTGCTTTTCCAGAAAAACTTGCCAGCTGTCTACACTGGCCGCTTGAATTTCCGCAAAAGCACTGACTTCCTACTGTAAGAAATCAGTGCTTCTTGCGGAAATACTATTCTGCTCCCGTTCAGGCAAAAGTCCCTTTTGTGCAAAGCTTTTGCACAAAAGGGCCAGTGTAGACAGCTCAGATTTGTTTTCCGCAAAAAAGCCCCGATCGTGAAAATGGCGATCGGGGCTTTTTTGCGGAAAAGCATCCTTGCCAATCTAGACGCGCTCTTAAAATCAGGAATAAGGGATCTTTCGGAAAAGGCTTTATTTTCCGAAAGTTCCCCGTCTAGACTGGCGCTTTTTGCCGGCAAAGCCCCGAGCCGGAAAAAGGCGGCAGCCATGTTCATGCAAATGAAGTGGGGGAGATTTAAATCCCCGCTTCATTTGCAATTGTGATGTGTCTAATCTGCATCCCTTTTCCGCAAAAGGGATGCAATCTAGACACAGCCTATAAGTTATATTAGCCTTGGGAAATAGTCACAAAACTCTCAGACCAAGCACAAAATCTACTTGATCTTCCTTTGTCAGAACGATGAGAATGGGGAAAAACCATGACTGCTATTTTCCTCACCCAAAACCCCACACTCAGCTTGGTAAATAGATGGGTTGAATTTTGTAAGGTTGAGAAGCTTACTGAGAAGCTCTTTCAACATTATGTCAATGAGGATTATTACTATTCCATTGCCATTAATGGGTGGGTTTATTCTTCTGTGGTGCATCTGATCTGTCTGGAGGTGGCATATACAGTACAACAAAACAATTCAAATAGACATTCATGAGCCCAAGGTTAAACATTATATGCAGTGTATAGAGAGGTCTATGCAAGCTGTTGCTGTCTCCTCTGAATTCTTTTCCTATTAATTGTCTCTTGTTTCTCTTATCTATTTCAGGGCTACACATATCGAT